GAAGGAGAATATATATATATATATATATATATATATATAAATAATGTTCTTCTTGGAACAGACTTGATAAGTCTTTGAAAAAAATAGACCGTTCTCAAGGACTCATCGTGTATTCTTAACCATGAAGGTTTAGGGTAATGTCTTCTTCCCAAAGGAGTAAAATTATTCCCGCGACTTAAAAGACAAAATGGGAGAAAACTGCTCAGCTTAACCGCCCAGCAGTGTTTAAGATGTATGCGGTCGTCACGGCCAGGAAAGGCCGAGAGAGATAGAAACGCTTCAGAGCTGAACTGAGCTTCTGTTTTCACCACAGTGTGCCGTTTCTATAATGGCAAACAGGCAAAGTTAAACAAAACTATTAATTAGGCTAATATGAATATGATCACTGCCAGGAAAATTCAATTCTCTCTGCCCTAATCACAACTGGATAGCTTGTAAAAATTATTTTGTTAGGCCCTGGTGCAAACAGCGCGGCCTTTTCCAAACATTTGAGAACTATTTGTTTTGCGTGGCGATTAGCGTTTGCTGGTAGCGAGCGCGGGAAGCGGCGGAGCAGCGATAACCGCTGAGAGGGAACGGCTGACTCAGGGTGAGTGTGAACGCGGACCGCTGCTGTTGTTTACTGAGGCCTGTGTGTTTGAGCAGGTGGCGAGGATTAGCGGTGCTGTCAACACTGAACGCTGGATGAAGCTCTGCTCACCCTTTCCTCAGTCTGCTCACTAGAGCTCATCATTTTAGCATTTCACTCTCACACGTATCTGAAGAGGTAAGGTTTGTTTGGGGGAAGGAAACCGAGGACTGAGTGATCTTTCTCCAGTTGTGGATCAGTAACGTTAGGCTATCCAAAAGTTGTTAGACGTCCAAGTCTACTTTTTCCCACATTTTGTTACAGTAGTTAAATTAGCAAACTTTGCAGGAAAGTTATTCATTAGTTAAATGTTATAGAGTTGTACAAATTGTTTGTTTTTTTAAAGTGTCCAAAAACAATGGTTTGATATTGGTTGAATGTTACCTTCTATATTTTCACAGAAATTGACTTTCAAAAATAAAACTACCCTGAGAAATATTGACTGGAAGAAATAGCCAAAATTTTTGTACACACTCTAGTGTACATATGAATTAGCTGTGCTTAAATCTAGTAGGCATTTTATGTAAATTACAGTTTCAGATCTTTGGCACAGAAAACTTGCATGAAATATATTAGCATTTGCTAATTTAGGCTATTAAATATTATGCATAAACATGAGCAACAATAGTTATACATACCATCTAATTAGCATATTGCTGGTTTTTAGCAATAAATAAAAATAATAATGAAATAAAAAATTTTAAGGGCAAATTATAGTGTCCGGTAAAACATGCACTGAGTCCTGATGTTCACTGCAGAGGACATTGTATCACATTCAGTCTTGCAAACTAAAATTATACTCTAATATGATGAAAGGGTTATTTACCAGAAACGATATAATTCTAAAATATAAATGCTAGGTGCAAAATAACATATACCTACCACTCTTTTCCCCCCATACAACAGATTTTTTTTTTTTTTTAGACAAAGTAGTTGTTAAAAATATTGTTACAGTCAAATCCCCAACAGTGGCATATATGGCCTCAGAGAAATTCATGAATGTCATATACAGAGAACAAAAAGAAAAGAAAATCTTAAGGTTTTGCATATGTGTTTTGTTTTATGTCATATTTGATACATCTAAGTATAAATGTATAATATGATATAGTGATAATATGGAGCTTATACTCAAGGAGGGAAAAAACAGTTTTATTCAGAGGCCCAAGTGAAGCAAAAAAATTGCATATACACTGAACAAAATTTTAAACGCAACACTTTTGTTTTTGCCCCCATTTGTCATGAGCTGAACTCAAAGATCTAAGACTTTTTCTATGTACACAAAAGGCCTATTTCTCTCAAATATTGTTCACAAATCTGTCTAAATCTGTGTTAGTGAGCACTTCTCCTTTGCCGAGATAATCCATCCACCTCACAGGTGTGGCATATCAAGATGCTGATTAGACAGAATGATTATTGCACAGGTGTGCCTTAGGCTGGCCACAATAAAAGGCCACTATAAAATGTGCAGTTTTACTGTACTGGGGGGTCCGGGGGGGTCCGAAAACCAGTCAGTATCTGGTGTGACCACCATTTGCCTCACGCAGTACAACACATCTCCTTCGCATAGAGTTGATCAGGTTGTTGATTGTGGCCTGTGGAATGTTGGTCCACTCCTCTTCAATGGCTGTGCAAAGTTGCTGGATATTGGCAGGAACTGGAACACGCTGTCGTATACGCCGATCCAGAGCATCCCAAACATGCTCAATGGGTGACATGTCCGGTGAGTATGCTGGCCATGCAAGAACTGGGATGTTTTCAGCTTCCAGGAATTGTGTACAGATCCTTGCAACATGGGGCCGTGCATTATCATGCTGCAACATGAGGTGATGGTCGTGGATGAATGGCACAACAATGGGCCTCAGGATCTCGTCACGGTATCTCTGTGCATTCAAAATGCCATCAATAAAATGCACCTGTGTTCGTTGTCCATAACATACGCCTGCCCATACCATAACCCCACCGCCACCATGGGCCACTCGATCCACAACGTTGACATCAGCAAAACATTCATTTCACGGGCAACAGCTCTGGTGGACATTCCTGCAGTCAGCATGCCAATTGCATGCTCCTGCGACATCTGTGGCATTGTGCTGTGTGATAAAACTGCACATTTTAGAGTGGCCGTTTATTGTGGCCAGCCTAAGGCACACCTGTGCAATAATCATGCTGTCTAATCAGTATCTTGATATGCATCACCTGTGAGGTGGATGGATTATCTCGGCAAGGAGAAGTGCTCACTAACACAGATTTAGACAGATTTGTGAACAATATTTGAGAGAAATAGGCCTTTTGTGTACATAGAAAAAGTCTTAGATCTTTGAGTTCAGCTCATGACAAATGGGGGCAAAAACAAAAGTGTTGCGTTTATAATTTTGTTCAGTGTATATTCATTAGATGGACAAATGATGCAATTAATTTTATGAAATGCATTATATATATATATATATATATATATATATATGAAATTCTGATAGCTTGTAACGTGTTCTTTACAGTGGCAGACTGCTTTCATAAAATGAATATAAATATCAGTTGTCCATCTATATCTCCCAATAATATGTCTTAATAATATGATATTTAAATGCTCGGTTTTATGATTAAAGCTCTGTAGTTTTTTTTTAATTATTATTGTGGAGGGCAAAACTGAGAATGCAATGCAATACAATGATGATTGAGAGAGGTATAAATAAACGTTCCTCAAAAGCCTGTTGTGTAATATATATTAGATACTCACATTTTAACATGATAAAAAAAATTATGTTTGGATAATCAAGTAAACCTAAACTGCTTCAGTCCTGTAAGTGGACTTGAGTTTACTTTATAAAAATCATAAAAAAATTTCACAGAAAAAAAAAAAAAAACACTGTACCTGAAGGTGGACATTTTTAGGATGATACTAAAATAGATTTTACTTGCTAAAAAGTATGAATTATCAAACAGAAAACCGAAGACATTTAGTAGATTTTGTAAAACAGATTTTCCAGCAAAGTTTTGATCATGTTGACATTTAGGCCTTAGAAACATATGTATCAAATATGATACATCATTGTTTAAGGCTTTGTATTAACCAGATATACACCTCACATCCTCATGTTGTTGTTTCTCAGAGTTAACTTTTCACTTCAGTTTTCTGGGCCCCAAACTGAAAAATAAAAGATGTTCCTTGGTCATATTCTTACAACTTTACTGTAGCTTGTGGTTACAAGAGCCTACCCACACACTTAATTAGTTATTAAATAGTAAATCCAGTATTGTTCGCAGCGTTATTAGAGCTCCCACAACCGTTCCTTTGGTCCACGCTGCCTCCAGTGCCCTCCAGTGTTATGGCAGCCCACAAATCCCAGCTTGAGCGCATCACTCTCTCGAATCGCCCTCTCTCTGCCTCCTGGAGCAGTGACAGTACAGCATTACAGCACTCAATCCATGTCAACAGCAGCTTTGCTTAATGCCAGCTCAAAGCTTTTAAGCTAAATCTTCACCTAATGATGCTGAACGATTAGCCCTTTGCTCTTATGGCTGTCGATAGACTCGTATCAATTAGTGATTGTTTGTTTGTTTGTTAGTGTATTGAAGTAAAGCTCTTGTGCGTTACCGTATTTGAGTTTCAGGTGCACTGTACAGTAGGGGTTGGGGGTTGAACGACTTCTGATTTTTTAAAGTCGACTTTTATGTGATGAAAGTCGAGTCGAAGTCGACTAGTCGCTGATGACGTCATTAATGAACAAATAAGTCTGGAGCTGTGACAAACACCTTGTGCACAGCTATGGCATATGACACAGCGCTGCCCGATTGGTATATAGCTCATATAACAGCTCATTTTTATCAGTTATTTTGTCTTTGGTCATTATATTTCTCACAGATTTATGCTCGTTCTAAATCAGATACAGATAAAGTAGCACAGTAAAGATTACATTAATATGAATGCATTAGTGAGAGCGATTGCGTGTGTGAATGAATTCTGCCTGGCAGCGTGTCTCTACTAGTAGTGAAGCTGTGGGATTTAGTTATTAAGAAACATATGCTTGAACTTTTCAGTTTCTAAGCTATTTTATTGAGAAATCACAGAACAGTGTTGACAATACATTTCCGCGCTGAATGATTATGTGTGCGTGATATACACGCTACTGTTGTAAACGGAGTGTAAATGTGGAAGTACTTCAAAGATTTCTTATCTTGTTGCGCCCTCTATAGGACCAGCGACTAGTCGACGTCAAGCTTAAAGCGTCATGGCAGAGCATTGAAGTCGACTAGTCGATTAGACCGTGCAACCCCTACTGTACAGTACATTTACTTCTCATTATTTAAAAATAAACACTTGCTTTGGAATTTGAAGAAAGATTAGGGTGCCAAATTCTTGCCATTAGGAAATGTAATATTAAATATGAATTTAATTGAATATTTAATATGAATTTTCTTTCTAATTTTGTGAGCTCAGATTGGATTGCAGTAGTTTTGGTTTTGTTGCATTTTTTCTGCAGTCTTTGTCTTTTTGTGTTCATGAGTGTTTTTTATGTGTGTGTGCAAATGTAATGCAGTGGCAGCCCTGTCTCCTGTTGTGAAGCAGATGTTGCCCTCTGTTTTTACCCACCTCTGCACCCTTTATCCCATGCCAAGTCCTAAGAAGCAATGGTGCCATGCTAAGTGAGGGACACAATGGATATGTAAAAATAGCAGAATACAGGTATGAATCTTGCGCAGGGTTGGTGATTTGGATTTATTTCTTATGTTATTTTATTTTACCTGTGCTGTCTGCCAGTTTTTGTCTTCATGCATTCAAAACTCTATTTAAAACTTGAAGACATAGGCATTTTTATCTTATTTTTAATTCTTATTTTCATTTTTTATACATATTGTGAAAGTTCAACAGTATCATACACACAGTTTTGTTTACATAAGAGGTTCAACAAATTATACAGTGCCTTGCGAAAGTATTCATACCCCTTCATTTTTTTTAACGTTTTGTTATGTTGCTGCCTTATGATAAACTTCTTTAAATTACTTTTTTCCACATCAATCTAAGGCACTGTATAGATAAGTGTCATTAAATTACCATATATATATATATATATAATTTTATTTAATTTTTTTATTATATGTTTTTTTAAAATAAACTAACCTATTCCTTAAGAAATGACTGCATTACTATATAAAAATCCTCTATTCATTTATATATTAGTATTATGCAAAATCATGACCATATATATAATTTAAGAATTGTTATACATTGAGAGTATATATTTATTATATAATACAATATATAATATACAATATATAATGTATTTTTGTACAATCAGTAATGTTGATTTTTTTCCATCATTTAATATTGCCTGAAATGACTTTAAAATGATCAATCCACATCCAATGCCAAAAACAAACCCACTTCATTTTTCATTTCCTGCATAATGTGTTTCTTTGATCTTAAAATAAAACAATACATGAAATATTTTAAGGTTCTTGGTGCTGAGCAGGAAACCACTGAGCCAAACCCTACCTGAAAAACCGAAACCCAAATGCTGCTCTGAAACGCATACAACTGGAGCCTGCAGTAAACTTGATGGAAAGGCAGAGGGCAGTAGTGCACTAAAGCAGCCCCCAACAAGCCCTCTCTCCCACACTCCCTCTTTCACAATGGAAGTGCGCCTGGGGGGGAAGTGTTGCTTTTTTAGGTCTATAAACCCGTATCCCTTAATCCCTCGCCATGATTGACAATCATGATTTAGGGTATATGGTGTCCCATTCTAATCCAGCAGCACTGCTTTCATTTGCATACTTGCCGTGCGTGGCCTCATTTTCAGGGGAGGCATACTGCCTGCTGCCTTTGTAAGAGATGCAGAGAGAGAGGAGAGGAAAAGAGAGGGAGAGAGAGAGAACAAAAAGGGAAATAAGAGATAGAAAGAGAGCTGAGAGGAGAGAGAATTTAGAAAAGAGAGTTGGCTGGCATTGAGGAGAGAGAGAGAAAGAGCAAGGGAGAGAATGATGAAAGTTAGAGTAGAGAGAGAGAGAGATTAGAAATTGGGAATGTTTGTGTATGTCTGCCAGGAGTGAGGATAACCGTGTGTGTGTGTGTGTGTGTGTGTGTGTGTACCAAAGTCAGTCCTTGCCATCTAGCCACTTCAGTATCTTTCAATTGCCCTCCAGCTCTAAAGATGCATCCCAAGGCACATCGCACAGACGAGAGAGAGACAAGGAGAAAGGCTAAATTAGCATTAACTTAATTAATGAGGCATTTGTGATAACAATGTAGAAAGTCATATGACACCTGCAAATAAAACTGACAGAAGAATTATGATTTAAAACAAAATTGTAACCTTTGGAAATTAGTTGTAGGCTACTTTATAGCTTGAAAGCAGAAAGCATCCAAAATAATTTTTAAAAAGCTGTAAGTCTGAAAACAATATTGAATGCACAATAAAAAAAATGAAATCAACAGCAGAACTAATAGTATCTGACCTTCATTTTCTATGTATATATTTTCAACTGCCTTCCTCAATGCTTTGCAAAAATGTCATATGCCATGTCTTGTTTTCATACATTGAAAAATTTGGTAATTTTGTATGATATCATTATGTGCGAAGGGAAAGTCAAACATTTACAGTCCAAACATTCAAACAGAAGGTCAAACATTTACAGTCCAAACATTCAAACAAAAGGTCAATCATTCAAACAGAACGTTTTGTTGTGACAGATTTATCAATTTAGGTCCACTGCAGTTTGAATAATAATGTAGATTTATATTTTAAAACATCAGATAATCAGTTATTCAAAGATGTCAGTTAAATGCCTTTGTGGCCAAGAAAAGATCAGAAAAATATTAAAAACTATTAAATAAGTAATGTAATATAATCTACAATAATAATAAGTTATTATAATATTTTAAATATACATATATAATTGTGTTTTTGTTTGTTGATGTATAATGACATTTGGTCAAACAACAATGAAATTAAAACCAATATAATGCAGTAATCATTAATTAATAATAGCCAATATAAATAATAATTAGAATATATTATAAAATAATAAAAATATTGTTATAATTAATATTGTATTTTTATTTATTTATTTATTGAGCATGATCTGTGGTCGAATATAACCAAATATAATGTAAGTGTAGTATATCTAGCATATGATATGAATGAATAATTATATTGTTAAATAATAGAAAATTACATAATTATTATAATTAATATTGCATATATATTTATGTATTTATTACTTATTTATCTTTGGTGAAACAACAATGGAATTAAAACCAAATATAGTAAAAAATAAAAAAAAAATAGTATTGTTAAATAGTAATATACATAATTATTATAATTAACATTGCTTGCTTATTTATATATGTATTTATTTATTAATTTAGGATAATATTTGGTCAAAGAACAGTGGAATAAAAAATGAATAAACTGACAATGACATACTGAATCAGTGTGTATCCTGATGAAGGAAAACACAGGACACGAGACATTCTTCACTGTGTGTGTGTGTGTGTGTGTGTGTGTGTGTCAGAGAGAGAGCAGGTGAGTGTCTTACAGACGCTGTAGGAAGTATGATGAATCTAATCTGATTATTATCTGTCTAAGCTTTGAATTCCCGTAACTTATCCAGTGTTTACTAGACTAAGTGGTTTCAGTTCTACATAGACTATCCACATATCCACACAGATTAACACTTACCCAATTTGTTATTTACTAAAACTGAGTCTGTGCGCGTTTGCGTTGTGTGCTTGTGTTGTGTGTGTGCATTATACAGCATATCTCTTGAGTCTGAAGGAGACATGGGGGGGAAAAAAACCCTTCATTTATTCCCCCATTTTGAGAAATTAAACTCTTGTACTTGATCCAGCTAACAGGATTTTCTTAAATTACTTTATAAAAGACCATCTTTTAACTTCCCTCTCTCACATGCAATCCATTCATTAGTAGGTCTGCCTGAAGGGCCTCCCCACATCAATTGCTTGGGTTAAAGTTACAAACTTAGGCAGCTCTGTGATGCTCAGCGCTCATGGTGGTTTGCAGAGGTGGGGGCCAGAATTATTAATTTCTCAAGTATTAGAAAAAATAACGAGATTGAATTAAGAGTATTGGCCCTCTGTTATCCTGGGCGGCTAGCCTCGGGGTCCGACTGTGGTGGAGGACATTATGCAAATGCTTCTTCTCTATATCTTCTCTCTTGCTGTCTTCCTCTCTCAGTCTTTCTGTGTCTTATTTTTTCATTCTGCTCTCTGAATGAAAGCCATTGGAGTAGCAAAGGATGGTGTATCATTCTGCATGTCCTTGTGTGTCTTTTTTCTTCACTTGTCCCTGAACTTCATACACTTTACAAGAATAGAATTATCTGTTTCTTCCCATCTCTCCTTCTCTCTGTTTCTCTAATCTCAGAGCAGGATGAGATTGTGACGGGTCCCATAAAAGAGACAGCTGTCAAAACACAGCCTGTTCCTGTCATCCCAGCCCTCCCTCCCTCCCTCTCTCTCTCTCTCTCTCTCTCTCGTTTTTTTTTTTTTTTTTTTACTGGGTTTTTACAACTGGCTACATTATTTTACTCACCCTTCAACCATCGAACATTAAAATGACATTTAAGTGTAAAAGCATAAACAAGGTACTTTCAACAGTCCATGAATAGCTCCAAAAGCACGATTCTTTCCACGGCAATAACGGACGGGTGAAATATCACTGTGGTAATATACACTACTCACAAAAAGTTAGAGATATTCGACTTTCGGCTGAAATTTATGGAAAATGTAAAAAGTTCTTGCTACAGTGATATTATATCATGAAAGTAGGGCATTTAAGTAGAAGCATGCAAAGGTAATTTCTTCATCTCAAACAATTTATTGAAACAAAAGCTTAACAACAGTGGGTGGAGATTGTGCTCCTTAAAAAGTGTGTTTCCGGTTGTAATTGCAATATTTAAATAACTGGATTCTCTTAAGTGTGTTTTTCAAATGTTCTAATGAAGGATTTGTGCAATTGAGAAATATAATTTTCTCTTTCACTTATGTTGTTATAATAAAATATAACTGTTTGTGCAGAATTTTGTGTTTTTTTGGGGGGGGGCGCTCGAAGGGGGTCTCGCCCATGGTGTAATTCAATGTAGAACCGCCACTGCTCATGCAGAGGCACAATGACTGGATTAATGATCTTATTCAGGTAGTATTGGCTTGTCACAGGACCATTCACAAGGTGTAGGGCAGTTCTGTATTGACTAGACACACCTGCCCAGACTGTAACACCAGGCTCGTCTGGTGACAACAGTGGCTGATGCATAGCGTTCTCCTTGACGTCTCCAACAGCGTTGGTGGCCATTATTTCTGCTCAATGTGAATCGACTTTCATCAGAGAACAGCACTGAGGCCCACTGGTTCCTCGTCCAGTGCAAATGCTCCCTGGCCCATGCAAGACGATGGCGCCTGTGCCTGGTGGTGTGGTCAGGTACCCTTGCAGGTCGTCTAGCACGCAGACCATGCTGATGTAAGCGGTTTTGAATGGTCTGACGTGACGCTCGGGTGCCTCTCACCTACCTTAAACGTGCCTGGAGTTGAGTGACATTCATCATCCGGTTCCACAGGGCACTGTTCACAATGAAGCGGTCATCATCAGCATGGGATGTGGCCAAAGGACGTACACTTCTATGCCTTTCTGTGACTCTTCCAGTCTCTCTGTGTCTCTGTTGCAACCTGCTGATGACACTCTGTGACACTCTAAGCTCAGTGGCAACTTCCTTCTGAGAACATCCCGTTTGAAGCCTCGCAATGGCCAGGTACTGTTGATCAATTGTTAGGTGTCATCTTGGTCTCATGATGTCAAAATGTGAAGAGCATGATGAAGAGGACTGTTTAAATACAAATTGTCAGTGAACCAGAACATTTAGTGGTCGATTCATGGATCAGACACTTGTGATTTTTGCGGTTAATCACCTTGTTAGAGAACAGCTTGTTATGCAATAAGTACTGAAACATTGAACGGTTGGACATGTGCATTCAAAAGTTTAGAGAAGGTCAAACTAAGTTCACCTGTAAAGGTTATAATGCATTTTAGGTGCATTCTGAAATTTCACCTGAAAGTCGAATATCCCTAACTTTTTGTGAGTAGTGTATATTTGTATTATGTAACATACGTTGCCTTAATCAAAAAAGTGAATTAACTTCAGCATTTCGTGATACTAATTCGATGTGATTTCCTCATTTTGACAGATGTATTCCAGTGAATTATTAATGGGATATATCATAAACTAAATCGGGAGAACAGACCACAAATGTGCAGTTTATGTTGTCCTTTTTCATACTATTACAGCGGAATGCAAAGGGAAAAAAAGAAAATAATCATGAGGAAAAGAATGCAGCGACTGAAAAGAGCTCTTGCCATAGATATTCTTGTTATAACATTTCACATTAAAATACCAAGCGTTACGTTATTCTCATGATGTCTGAAAATAAAACGAAGGAATATTGACAGCTCATTCAGTCAAACAGATGGATAAGCTTTTAGGGCAACCTTATGATTTGAAATGATTAGTTTCAGTCTTTTTGAACGGAAGTTCCCCAAATCGTAAGTGCCACCCATAATTCAAAACGCAGTATAAGCTCATCAGGAAAAAGATGGATATATTAAAATCTGTTGAAACTGGCTTTAACCAGTGCTTAGCGTGTTTGGTTAACTTTAAACAGGTGTTTGCTTGGGCGTTTTTTAGGTGGATGCTGAATGATTGCTTGCTTGCCCACCACTAGTTTCTGCTATATTCTGGTCTCTCAATAGGAGTCGGATCAATAGTCTAATTTAATATTTCAGTTTTTCAAGTCACACAATTTAAGATACAATTCACTGCAAACAGTATGGGATGAGTTATGTACTAAACTATAATAATGCCTTCAAGTGCATCTGTACATTACTACAACACCATGTTATTATGACGTCACAGATTCAAATCAGGAAAATAACACTGAAGTAGCCTGAATTCAAAATGATAAAAAAGTATTCATTTTTAGCACTCATACATGGTATCTAACAAAAATGGTAACAAAATTTACTTTTCATAAAGCAAATTGTGAAAAGTAAGAGATTAGTTGTACACTATATATGTATAAGCTGTTCTGTATATCGTGCCAGTACAGCAGGTAAAAATGTAAATGAAATTATATTTCAAATCAACACCCTTTATGACATCACTCGTGTGTCATCTAGAATTCTGTTCAGTTTCCTACTTGTAAATACGACTTATGATATTTCTGGAAGGGCACATAATACTTAGGATTATTATGTTTCACCAAAAAGTATGAGAAATAGTAACAGTGAAGCTTCTTGGTTTTGATAATACAGTACAGTCATCCGAGGATAGAGCACAAGAGGAGGTCCAAGAAGGTTTTGACATCAGGTTCAGAATAGCAGTCCTGGTTGAGTTCAGGATCAGTTGGCAGTGCTCAGGTCTCTCCCTCCAGCTTCAGATGAGAGGCGAATAAGTACAGACAGATCTGATATCAGTAAATATTAGCCTTATGCCTGCCGCTACATTTGTATGTATATAGGTTTCCTTGATTCCTTGACAAGCTGATTGCATATTCAGAGGCAGATGTTTCTGGAGTTGTTGCGCAGGAGAGCGAGGGAGAGCGGTAGAGAGGAGGGGAGGGGGGCTTCTGTCAGAGGAGAAGGTAATTGGCCCCCAGGCGATGGCGGGTACAAAGAGAGTGTGCGAGAGAGGCAATAGCTCTCGTCCTCACCGTCTCTCATCTCTGGTTCTCTGCAGATCTGATAAAGATAAACGTGTGGCAAACGTGTCATTTGATGAAGGAGGCTCTGGGCAAATACGGGCGACATGATGAGCCTGTGATCTGCCTGCATGAGTGTCAGCAGGAGACGGGCCAGAGATCTCAATCCAGAGCCTCGCTCTCACTCTCCCATTCTCTGACTCTCTCTTCTCCTGTACAATTGATAGTGCTGTTGTACATTAAAATCAGACAAATACATTTATTTGTATGCGTCTGATACATTTGTTTTCTTCGAAGTTCCCTGAGCCAGATCTAATTATGCCACATATTATAATAAAAGAGCATTAATCGAAAACAATGTATAAATATAGTTTTTGTTCCCTGTTCCTTGCTGGTGATCTTCCTAAACCTATGGGCAGCCGAATCATTGACAATATTCAACAAACAGCTGAAAACTCATCTCTTCCATAAGCCCTAAACTGCATCCTGCTGAGAACAAAAAATTGTATATATATATATATATATATATATATATTATAATAAATAAATAAATAATTTCTTCTTACTTTATTCCTCCCTGTTCTATCTTGTATAGCTTGTATTCTAGATTATGTCTGAAACTTTGTATTGCTTGCACTTATATTATTGGCTCCTTAAGATGAATTGTTTATTGTATTTCTTCACGTATAAGTCACTATAAATGTAATGCATATAAGTGTAAATGTACAGTAAATATAGATTAAAACAAGCATAAAATACTTAAACAGAATTTGTCACATTTGTGAAAAATGTGATATAATGTATATTTATATTTTACCTTCACATGTAAGCCATGTCTCCAAACTAGACTTGTGCCGGTATTCGGTAATACGATATATCACGATAATGAACATGCATGATATTGTTATCGCGGACAGCAGATGGCGCTGATGGAACAGCAGAAATGCAGCCGTTACACCATAACTCTGTAACTAAAGCAGCTGTGCTGCTTTCTGTTTCTGAACTTTAATCTGTTTGAAACATTTGTTTACTTTATACATTGTTGTGTATTCCTTTATTGTATTTAAATGTCTAGTTCTTTTTGTTATGTTAAAAAAGTTGTTAAACCTGTTATGACAACACTTTTTTATAACTTTTCCCAATATCGTGATAATACCGTATACCGTGATAAAAGCTTCAGCAATTATCACAACATGAAAATTTGATACGTCATATGTCTACTCCAAACACACTTGTGCTGTTGTTTATGCATTTATAAAGATTATAGAAGATATAAAGAATGTAAAGAGTATAAATGATATTTTTCTATTCAACCTACCTATGTTATCTTTTTTTATCTTTTTTTACATTTTTGTATTTTTTTAGACATATTCATGGTCATATTTATACATTTCAGTGTTTGATTTTAAATTCAGCATGAAATGGAAAATTACCCTATCTATTTTCATTATCAGTTGCATGCAGTTGTATGCAGTTTTTAACCTTGTAAATTTTAATCAAAATGTCATAACTTGATTTGATGTATGACTTCTGTCATATTGTCTGTGAACTCTCCCCTTTCTTATTGTAGACTGCAAGCTCACATTAAGATCTGCCTCCGCATGGGAGAATTGAACCATCCCTACATTTTCTGTCTATTTTGACCAAGACGTACTTCACGATACAGAAGAAAAGATCTGTCACTATTTTCGTCACACTGCAACTTTAAGGAGGTATTTGTTTCATTTTCAGTTTTGGTTCATGACGTGTTGTATCATCACTTGATGTGATATGTTCAGTCTGGTACCTGAAGCGAAACCAGCTAACAACTGATCCATACTAAAGCATTTACGTAGAACAGGAAGCACCAGTGGATGAAGCAGGAATCTTGAGCACATTTTTGGACTACCTCTATGAAATAAACTGTGTGCTCATATATTTGAGAGAAAGCTTTGTCAATGGAGTGTGTGTGTGTGTGTGTGTGTGCACTCACGTCACCCAACGTTGAAAGCCAAGCCCCCTGGGCGAGGGCTGTGAAGAGCTCGAATGAGACATGCACAATCAGTTCCACTCTTTACACCTCTCTCAGAAGCATATCTACTGCCACAGCGCTGTCTTCACAGGCCTCTCCATCAGTTAGTGGGCTGTGAGCTGGCACACTGCTCTGGCATATTCTTCCTGGTCTCAATGAGGTGCAGATGGAGACTGTTTTGCCTTATTATCTCTCTTTTTTTTTTTATCGTATCATTACTCAATTCACACATTTCTATCTTAATTTCTACTGACAACCTCTATTTTTTTTGTTTCCTCTTGGAGGATATAACTTTGATTTTCATCTCTCTTTCAGGGATTGTTCACTTTATCAGTTTTCTGTCCTCATTCTCCTTTAAACCTCCTAAATTCCTTATTTATGCTGCATTCCATTCAATGTGGAAAGTCTGGATGTTGGAGAACTTGGAAACACTTGTTAAAGTTTCTATATTACATGTTTGCTTACACGTGCAGGTGTGTGAAAGTCCCAGTACATAAAGAACTTTGGTAAATAATAGTTTCTACAGATTGGGTGGCAAATTCGTACAAGCTGATTATAGACCTTAGTCAGGGTAGAGCCACATTTAATTTTTGACAGAAATGAAAACTGTGTGAGACAGAAGTACAGTGTGTTTAGTGTATTGTGCTGATTTGTTCAGCTGGCAAAGCATCTTTCCACATGAAAAAAAACAGTTCAGTACTGTAGACAAATAGTCCATAAAACAGTTTGTAAAGTTGGAAAGTTTTGGAAAATTTTATACAGTACATATTAATGTAAAGACTATATGTCTATCCCTCACAGTCTCATTGTCGTCCCTGTAAGTTTCAGTATGGTATCTTCCCTTGCTAAAGTCGATTATCCATCTTCACACCGTTGGATTACGCTATTTTACTGATGTTTCCACTGTTGAATAACTGTTTTTTGTCTTATTCTGAAGACTGAAAAGCTGAGTGACGGGAAAAATAAAAGTATAGAATGAGAATAAAAACATAATCAGGCATATGTTCAAATGCACAGTGTAGAAAAATAAATTTTGGGCATTTTGAATTGATTTAGGTGCCTTGAGTCCCAGTGAAGTTTGGCAGGTTGCAGTGGACTGTTGCATCCAATCTAGCACTAAGATGCTAATATAACACAGAAAATGTGAGAAAATAAATTATGCTATCGAAGTGCTGTGTATTATAAAGTGATTCGTTCATTAAAACAAAATGGGGCATTGTAAGTCCTTGCAACAATGCTAAGCGACATGTCACATGACCAGAGGTGCCATTACGCAGAAACACACACAGGTCCATCGGGATGCTGACATGTGTTTAGGGGTGGTTGTGGGAGGAGGGAAGGGTAGTGCATTTGGAGGGTGCCTCTCCAGGGGTCACCATGTTTTACTCTTCCCACAATCCCCTTAGAACAAAGGCGTCATTGACAGGAGGAATGTGCCAGGCCACCAGCTAACATGCTAACACCCTCCTTGAGCTCCCTCCCCCTTAACACACGGGGTCTAACCAAGTGATTAGTTGGGGATTAAAATATTTGCTGTGCAAACACCTGACGTGGCTGTACGAATCAACGCCACAGCATAGTTCAAAGACACTCGTTGAACTCGAGCGAGACCTCTAAACTCATGCCTCAGACCAACCCCAGACAGCTTCTCAATAGACCTCTAGACGTCTGGTAAGACGTCTACTAATGACTGGCCCATAGTCATCTTTGTAAGACACAAACAACCTACTAGATCTACTAAAAGAAAGAAAATCACCCAAAAATAAAATTATTTTACTCACACTCATGTTGTTCCAAACCTGTTTGCATTTATTTAGTGGAACACTAACACTTTTGGAAAATTGTTGGTAACCAAACCATTTAGGTGACCATTCATTTCCATTGTATGGACAAAAACCACTGAGACATTCCTCAACATGTCGTCTTTTATATTCCACAGAAGAAGGTAAGTCATGCAGGTTTGGAACAGCACTCATTTAGGTTGGCTAATAAGTCTTGAGAATTAGCTGTCATTTAAATCATCTCAGTAAGTACGTTTACGTGTATGTTTGCACTACAGTGGGTTTTGGGGTGTATTCAACCTTCAGTCTCATTCGCTCTAAGAATACATGACACAATTTTGGAATAAAATATTTCAAGGATTAAAAACACCCTAACACTGTCTTTCACCGCATGTGCAGAGGCTTTTTGTGCTACAAGCTGGATTGAAGGTGCAAATTTCATAGGCAAAAAAGTCCACTCTCCATTGCCCAATTTTTGTGATGTGTTTATGAACACCTTTGGCACTAATCAGACCACCGTCAGAGGCTTTTCGTCCAATTTAGCATGTTGAATCGTGTTGGAGACATCTTTGAAAGAGACCACACTGATTGGCTGATTAGCTTAGCGAAACAGTGCACAAGAAGAAAAACAAAACAGGCAAAACTCTGAAATGAAGAGGGCGCACACAGAAGGCTCTTCTACTTTCTTTGTTACATGACAATTCCATATACACTGTTGGCTTTTGGTGCTGCTAGTTCTTTGATTTCGGCTTGGTGTGTCACATACTTTAACCGCCATATATATATATATATATAACCTGACTATTGAAGAATAGCAAAGTGCAGTAAACTGTAGAACTATTTGAGATACAAACCGGTGTATTTGTGATTACTATAATGTAAAAAATATGCTGATAAATACCAGTTTGCAACATCAAGCAGCATAACAGACTCTTTTGTATAGCTAATATTGCTGGAAGTGGCTCTGGGAGCCTTGCAAATTGGCCACATCTGCTCTTAGGTTAAAAATCAGATGACTAGATTTAGAAATATGACCGCAGCTTTCACACAAAAAAATCAGAAGATAGTCCTTTTAATCCAGATGAAATAAAATGCGCAATTATGTATTGTTTTATTGCGACTGAATCTAACTTTTACAGTGCATATAAATGCACTTGTAGTGTCAGTATCACTACAAGGAATGGGAAATGGGAAACTTTTAGCGCAAGATATTTTGTTTCAAACAATATTGTAATCAACATTTTAGTTTTTGTTATTATAACCAGCTGTTATTTAACAAAGAACTTAATTACAACTAATTTCTTGCACACAGTAGCTGCCAAATGCTTTATGACTTTATGGGTTGAAACAATGCTGATTGTAAACACACACAAACCCCAAACCATCAGTCTGACCACAACCTGTGCTTTTTTTTTTTTGCAGTCATGTGCAGTTCCTTTATTAAGGAGCCCTAACCCCTACGACTCCAACCTTTAGTATTATATTTAACCTCCAGCAGTCATTTGGCACCAGTTTCTCTTGATTTTCGGCTGCCTCCCTCCACACACCTTTTCATCACTCTGCATTTACTTATGTACGGCTGGTTGTTGAAGCAAAGATTTAATTACTTTCTGTTAAATTAATTTGAGAAGGAAAATAAACAGGCTGGTGGTAGGTCTGAGGAACAAAAGGCGGGAGATGCTGGGAGCGAGAGCAGAGAGTGAGTGTTGCTGAATGAGGCGAGGCACGCGGGGAAAGGAAAAAAGCAGCCAGGCTCCGACAAGTTTCAATTAAACAGACCCCTAGCAGCTCAGACCAGTGCTACCTGCAGCCCTTCAGAAACTTATTGATGCAGTCCATATAAACATCAATCACTGTCAGGCATCAAGGCCGTCTTGCGTTTGTTCATGACTACATGTGCATTTATTAAGATGTGAGGTCCATGTTTTAATCTTTTAGTCTGCAGTGTTTTAAAGGGATAGTTCACTTAAAAAAATGAAAATTCTGTCATTATTTACTCCCCCTCATGTATTTCTGAACCAGTATGACTTTCATTCTTCTGTGAAGAACAAAATAAGATTGTTTTTGCACTATATTGGTCACTCTTTTCCATGAAATTATAATGAATGCTTTCTAACTTCAAAGAGAACAAAAGCACCATATCTTAGCTATAGTTGAAACAAGGTGTGCACCATATTGCATGTCCTCTAACTTTGTGTAATAATCATGCCCTTATTGACTAAAAAATCTTGACATTGACTCTACTTGGTGCATTTATGACTTTTCATATTTAATACATGAACAAATCTCTTCAGGTCTTTTTAATGAATCAGTTCACTAGGTTTAGGACTGATTTGATTTAATATATATATACGCTATTGTGCAAAAGTCTTAGGCCATTAGTATTTTCACCAACAAAAAAATGGTTTTAAGCCAGTAATTCTAATAAATCTTTTCGCTGTAGTGTGTCAGTAGGAAATATCAGTTTACATTTCCAACACATTTCTTTTGCCATTAATTGCACTGTAATAATCCAGTTAGATTTTTGTGTGCACAAGGAGTCTGACAACAGCCAGTGCTCCACACAGAGATCTGATCTCACCATCATCCAGCCTGTCAGTGAATACATGAAGAAACAGAAAAACTCACAGACTAAATCCAGAATAACTGTGTCAACGTCTCCAAGATGCTTGAAGAAACCTACCTGCAAAGCTACCTGCTAAACTATGCACAAGTGTACCTAGGACAAATGCTGTTTTAAACGCAAAGGTTGGTCACACCAAATGTTGATTTGATTTAGTTAATAGAAGTTAATTCATAAATAAAATCTATTTATGACATTATTTTTGAA